TTCATTCATAACGGATTCGGAGGTTTTGTATATTATTTGAATTGTTTGCGATGATGGATGTCTCGCCATTTAAATCATTAACCTTTGCATTAGTTTTTGTGTGAATAATTCATGTATTTGTAAATTGATTGCACGTTTATCGTAATATATATATATATATATATATATATATATATATATATATATATATATATATATATATAATATAAAAAAAATACGCTTTTAAGTAGGCGCCAGAGGGAGTCGTCAGTGATGTTTTGACTTGGTTCAGCGTCTGCTTCGGTCCTGATATCCAGTTGGAAATGAATTGGTCGGAGTTACAAGGGAAGGCCGAAATCGCGGTTAATCTGTGGTCTCGGAGGAGACTTTCCTTAAAGGGAAGGGCGGAAGTATGTGTTTCATACATCTACCCGATTCTCCTTTACCGACTCTCTGTACTTCCACTTCCGTATACCAGACTAATATTATTAATAAGGCTGTTGTTCTCTTTCTTGTGGAGAGACAAGGCCGCTATGGTATCTCGGGAAATCTGTTTTCTTCATCCCTCTGAGGGCGGTCTGGGTAATGCACATCATTGAGATTCGTCAATATAGGCTTCGCATCGCCTTTCTAGACAGAATGTGTCGCGGATCGGATGAGGAGGGCGCCTTCTGGAAGGAAGACGTCCGTAGACACTTCCCATTCTTGAGAAGTGTGCATTCGTGCGAGGAGGAGGCTGGCCGTACACCCCGAGCCGAATGCTCCTTCTACCGCGAATGTCGTCGTGCTCTGAAACACCTCTTACGGGCGTCGGATGGCCTCTCCAACGCCCAGGCGTTGTCTCGTAGGGCATTGTATCAACTGTTAGTCAGGGGAGCCGTTCAAGATGATCTGATTGACGAGCTCGGTCTTCCGAAGCAGGAGGCTCGCTCAATATGGCCTTGGGCGCCTGAGATGAAATGTTTCAATCACGATGAGACATCACTCACTTGGCTGGTGATTCGTGGGGCCCTCTGGGTTGCCAAAAGACTTTGTTCAGCTGGCTTGGAGAAATCTCCAAACTGCCGTCGCTGTATTGGGGAAGTCGAGACCATTGATCACACCTTCTTTCATTGTAGGGTGGTAGTGCCGTTGTGCAAGTTTGTTGAAGGCCTCATGGTTTGCATGCTGCAAGGAAAGTTCTTTGTCCTTGAGGCCAGTTCTGTTTGTAGCAATATGGTGCCGCAAATGACGAAGGCTGAACATTATGTGTTCTGTTGCTTACTAGGTGATATGAGATTCGTGATTTGGACGACGCGTCAGAAGGAATTCAATGCGGGCGAGAAGTTCACTTCTTCCCAACTGATCTTGTTCTTTAAGCATCAGCTTAAAGTCAAGATTAGGACAGAAAGGCGGCGGCTAACCTTATCAGAATTTGGCAAAAGGTGGGTGAATCTTGCGCGTATATGCCGAGTAAAAGGAGCTGACCTGGAGTGGCATTTTGATGCCGGTTAGGAATCAGAATATTGTTTTCCTGGTTCGACCTTGGGCACCCCATCCCTGGATTTAGGATAGAAGTAGGTTTTTGATTCTTTAGTTTTTCTTTTCTTTTACAGTAAACTTAGCTAGGGTATGTTTTGCTCATTGGCCCCTTTTATTTATGTCCCTTTTTTCCTTTAGTTTAACTCCACATCCCCTCCCTCATTAGGTGGTCAGTGATGTCAGTTCTCTGGTGGATGTGGGGCGCCTTTTTTTGCGTCTGTGTTTTTTCTTATTTGTTGTTGCATCAGAATGAGTACATGTCTGTGTGAGTGCTTGGGATGGATGAATATTTTTCTATATTCTTATAGTCCCTCTCTCAATTTCGTCCAGTTAACTGATTTTTCTCCCACATTTAAGCTCTGTGGGGGAATTTATTACTAACATGATTTTGTTTATTTTCTTGTAAATAGTTTATAACAATATTGTATATATCATTATATATGTTTTTAGCTTGTTTTTTTATTATCCCCCCCCCACAGACAAATGAATTTGTACATATATGGGGACTATTTAGGATTTTTCATTGAGACAATGAGGTATTTTAGTGGATGTAGTAAAAAATATAAGATTGAATGTATGTTTTGGTGCTAGGATCATTGTTTTGAATGATTGGGAAAATAAGTTATAAATTAAGACAAATTATGACCGTCCTTTCCCCATCCCCTTTTTCGGTATTGTGCCACATTTATTGTATTGTTTACAGTAATAAATATTGTTTTGACTTTGTTCATCAGGGAGTTTCGGGTCTTTCAACATCATACAAAATCAATCCAATCAGGGGAGATCAACCCCTGATTCCCCCTCACGATTAAACGCTAACAGCTACTCTGGCTTTTTTAAAGAACTAGACGAAGACCGACCACATATTCCGCAATATCCGATTGATGTTTTTATCAACTGTATTCTTATGGTTTATTCTTATATTTTAAATGGCTCGCGGTGGGGACTGGCTTCTTTTCTTATTTCAGTGGATTGCAGTTTCAATGGATAAACCAAGGAGGTAATCTTAATGTTCCTAAGTTTAACCCTTTTCCTTAAGTATTGTATAGTTTAAATATTTGCCGTTTTTATTTTATTTGTACTTTTTATTTTTTTTAGGCGGGGAAACTTAAACTCAACCCTATTATCACATTTTATCGTTTAGCCTGTTTCTTAAATTTACAGGTTAAATTTAAATGGATGTATTTGTAAAATTAAAATAAATGTTCATAAACATCGCGTATATTTTCCCTGTACATACAAAAAATAAAATTAAAAAGAAGATAAAATAAAAGTACAATAAGCACTACAATATTCCTTAACATTGATTTAAAACTATTTACAAACTTGAAGTCGTTAAATACAATAGACTACGAAATGCTCTTGGAATATATTAAGTATTAACGAAGCTTCATATTACATTTATATATATGTATCGATGACAATTCAACTAATAAAATAAAATAAAAATAATAATATACAAACGATATATAGCGATGATCGAGAGAAAAAACTCTATAAATACACTGTATACCTGTTATGATTCCGATTAAAATATACAAAATGCGAAATGTTCGTATAAATATAAAATTAAAAAAAGAACGAATAATAGACAAAAAGGTCTTACGTTCGAATAAATATAAAATTAAAAAGTAAATATGAGAATAATAGACAAAATGTCATACGAGATGTGTCGCGCCGAAACCGCTAAAAAGTAAATAGTAACTTAAAATTACCGCGTATAAAATATGTTTAACATAAAAAAAACAACATATTTACAAATAACACAATTTACAAATTGACATGATATATTCGTTGGCTGCACCTGTACAATTCAAGTCATGTATTTAAACATAAAAAACTATGTTTATATTATTGCCATGTTGCAATTATATTAATAGTTATTTATAGATTTACCCGGCTAATAATATATTTATGTTGCATTGAAGTCCCAGATTTTATCCACCTAATTCATAAATATTTTATATATATACTTTGTGTTGTATTAGTTATGGTCCGAATCATATTTCTTTTGTTAGCAAACAAAAATACCAATATCAGTTAGAGCTTTTTTAGGACCTATGTAGCAAAACCTCGGACGTTTCATCAATTGGCAAACAGCTTGATTTCCATCCATTGTTTTACAACTCGTTATTAATTGTCATATTTTAACATCTTCCGTTCGTGGGCTTCTTCTGCATGTTCTTCCCAAGGCAACTGTCAGTTCCCACATTATTATATATATTAATGTTGTTAGAGAAGAATATAAATCTGGGCGTAAAGTTGTTTACATGTATTTGGGGAATTGTATACTTTTTCCTAAGTCGGCCCTTATTCCCAGTCTGTTGCCAATGACAGAATATTTGCTATGTTCTTGTCCTTTATATGTATATATATATATATATATATATATATATATATATATATATATATATATATATGCGCGTGTGTGTGTGTGTGTGTGTGGTGTGGGACAAAGTGGAAAGAGTTTTCTTCAAAATTCATCAGAATACATTCGTTATGTTGGAGCAGCTTCACAAAAGCTTGAACGAAAGATGCTGTGGAATTTAAAAATTTTTAATTTAAGTTTTTTTTGGTTCATTTTTTATTTCTTTAAAATTTGAAATACTCAGCATCCTTCGTTTGTGTCCTTGTGTAGTCGTCAATTAGACCAAGAGAATTAGTCTGATGAAGGACGACTTTTTCCATTAATGTCAGACATTTTCAACAATACTTTTCTTGATATATATATATATATATATATATATATATATATATATATATATATATATATATATATATATATACGAATCATTCATAAAAAAAACAAATATAGGGGTTAATGTTTAACGTTATTTAAATCATTAACCTCTATATTTGTTTTTTCTATGAATGATTCATGAATTTATAAATTATATTTGCACCTTTTAATTGAAATTAAAATAACTGATCCAACGTGCAACTTTCAGATAATAAGTGTGACATTACTGTAATTATTGAACAATATAGTTCATGCTATATTCACAGAAAATTTACCAGTAAAAAAGAATTCTCTTATTGCTATATTTGTACAAAAACGCACAACCTTAAAATTTAAATTCAAACTCAGCGTTGCGACCGCACGTTCCAAAACACATTTCTCATAGCATTTTTTTGGATTAAAAAGACCTTATGCAACTGGAATTTATAAGCGGGGATCATATCATTCATATACAGGTTCGGGGTTGATTTATCTTATTTATATTGTTTGCGAGGATGTATTCTCGCCATTTAAATCATTAACCTCTATATTTGTTTTTTTGTATGAATGATTCATGAATTTATAAATTATATTTGCACCTTTTAATTGAAATATATATATATATATGTTTTTGGGCTCTCCTTGGTTATTGTCAGTTTCGCCCCTCAAGGGATCTTCAGGCCATGTTTTACTAGTCCTTTAGCGGGAATTCTATATAACAGATTGGTGTATTTTAAGCTAAGTATATACAGGAAGCTTAGAGAAAGGTAAATATATGAACAGCTTGTGATAGATTGAAACACATTGAGAAATTAACAGATTGAGATAGATAGATAGATAGATAGATAGATAGATAGATAGATAGATAATGAAAAGACCGTGACAGACAGACAGAAAAAAGGGATATAAACTGACGGATATAAATACAAATAAACAAACTAGGTCATGTGGGTTCTCACTGTAAAACCTCACGCTCTGGTCTCGTGACGTTCCTCCTCCTCCTCTTCTTCTTCTTCTTCTTCTTCTTCTTCTTCTTTACATCGTAACTGTTCTTTGTTACTCTATGCCATGACGTCACTCATCGGTCATAACATAACCCACGTGATTTTAATCTTAGCCAAAGAAAGATAATCGCATTTTTATCCCAACGTGTATAATATTAATTATACCACAATTATATACAGCAGAAAGCAAAAGAAAATAAAATGAAGCCAACAGAAAGAAATAAGAAACTTTTATCAGTAAAGGAGGAAACCAAGAAGTTCAAAACGGAATTTCAAGTGGGTGAAGAAATGCAAGTAAACAATAATGCATCTACTGCAGCGGCAAAAAGATTAAAAAAAAAAAACAAATAAAAGAAAAAGTAAATGCAAAGGACCCAATACAAAACCTCAAAAAAAAATGTAAATGAAAGCAAAAGCAAATGCAAGGGACCCGATACAGAAACAAAACCTTAAAAAAAGCAAATGAAAGCAAAAGCAAATTCAAGGAATCCTATACGGAAACAAAACCTTAAAAAAAGCAAATGAAAGCAAAAGCAAATTCAAGAGACCCGATACAGAAACAGAAGCAAGATAAAGATCTTCATGGCCAATATTCTGCCCTTACCGCGCAAGCTGATGTCGACAAAACCCGTACGTATCAGTGGATACGTAGTGCAGTGTTAAAAGCTTGATCCCCATGACTAATGCTTACTCACTAGAAATTATCAAGCACACATTCTGAAAAACTATGTTAGCCTAAAATACAGATTCTATAATAAATATCAAGCAATAATTGATCATCTCGTATAAGGTTGCATGTTAATGGTGTCCCCTGAATGTGAAACCCGGCATGATAGGGTGGGCCAATACACTGGAAAATCTGCAACTTTTTCAAAAAGTAAACTGTAAGAAATTGGTATGAACACCACCTAAACCCGGTTACGGAGATAGGGTCGGTAACAATTTTTATGGGACTTTACAATATACGCAGACTGAAAAATCAAACCTAATCGCCCAGACATCGTGAACAGAGTCCACAAAAACAAAATGTGCATTATTATGGACATCGCAGTCCCTGCAGAATGCAATTTATCTTTGAAGATCTTCAAAAAAAAAAAAAAAACTATAAAAATACAAGGACCTTGAAATCGAAATATGGCACTTGAGAACATTAACAATTCTAGTTGTACTTGGAGACCTAGGATTGAATGGAAGACTTTCCGATAGATTCATTGAAGGGATTCCTGGTAGCCCAAGCCTTAAAGAAATGCAAAAAATTGTACTCACAAGTACAGCTTACACTTTACGAAGGGCGTTCTCTATGAAAATCTGTGTTGTCTTAGAGTTTTTCTGTGTTTTGTGCTCTCTGGAAAATGTCATGATGCCATTTTTGATCTTAAGTTCATGGCTTGGATCTGGAAAGAAATAGGTATCCACCAGAAAGTAAAGGAAATAAAATAATAATAATAATAACTATTATTGTCACAGTAATCAGTGGAATTTATTTTCTTGAGGCATGGTATCAACAACACTGCTCACAACTGAAGAATCCTCGCAGAGAAAAATAATGGCGGTTTTTCTGGAACTCTACAATCATAGTCTCAATTCCAAATTTCCCTTGACGCTCTTTCAAGTTTCATGTTGGTAGTTCCAAATCCTTCAATAGGAATTCCTTCTTCAGCAATGTTCCATCGCGTCGTATATTTACTCATATCACGTGATGCAGCAAAACCAGTAGTTTGGCAATGGCTACATTGCGTATCTGTCACAATAAGGTTTTGACTTCGTGTTACGATGACATGATCAATGTGGACCAAGAACTAATATATCTTGATATTTGTCCTTTTTTTTTTTTTTTTTTCTATTACCTCTTCTCCGTTTTCATACAATCTCTCGTTGACATTGAAGTCAAATCTACGGTGTTCATCCATAGGGAATCTTTTACCAATCCAAACATGTCAATTTATTGATTTGTCTGACTAAAGCCTTGATTGCAATCTGTTTCTGTTCCTTTTTTTAAAAATCGTTCCCACGTAAGGAAGGCCACTAAGACGCGGAGGTTTACAGGCAGAAAAAGAGAATTAGAAGACTATTGATGAGAAGTTATGAAGCTCTACAATCTTACCCTCACTTTCAAATTTCCCTTGAGGCTCTTTCAAGTTTCTTGTTTATGTTCCAAGCTCTCCTATAGGAATTGCTTCATCAGTGGTGTTCCATAGCTCCTAGACAGGTCTTGGTATATTTCAATGTGTTATATATACTCATATCGTGTGGTTCGGTAAAATCAATAGTCTGTCAATGGCTACTTTGCGTATCTGTCACAATAAGGTTATGTCTTCTTATTTCGATGACATTATCAGTGTGGACCATGTAATAATATATCTTTATATTTGTCCTATTTATGCTATTACATCTGGTTTGCATTCATACAATCTCTCGTTGACATTGAAGTCACATCTATAGTGTATATCTAAAGGGAATTTCTTACCAATCTAAATATGTCACTTTCTTATTGATTTATCTAACTTTGCCTTGACTGCATTCTGCTTGTGTTTCATTTTTTTTTAATTTTTCATTCGAGGAAGGCGATAATGCCACTAAGACGCGCGAGGTTACAAGAATAGAAAGAGAGGATTACGGCACAGAACCATAAAGGAACAGGTTCCAGGAAGACAGAGATTTTTTTAAGGTTGTAGGTGACATGAGAAGCGAGAAATCGGATGAGAATTCCACAGTTGAGAAGTACAAGAAAAGAAACTATTAGAATAAAACATATGGTTGCATCTAGCTTGTTCTACAGTAAAATGGTGAGACCTAGTTGCCAATCTAATGGTACGCTTAAATTCACGCAGTCAAGACATCAAGAAGGAAAGAATATCAGAACAATTGCCATGAAAATATTTGTAGAAAAGACAGACGGAAGTCACGACACGTCTGTCTGAAAATGAGTGAGGCCAGGTCAGGATCTGTTACATTACAGACCATTCTTTGGATTTTGCTAAATATCTCGAGATATGTAGTAGAATGGAATTTCTACAGACAAGAAAAGAAAATTACTAGAAGGCGGCTACATTTATTTGAAAAATAAAAGATGAGACCTAGTTGCTAATCTAATAGGACGTTCAAATCCACGCAGTCAAGAAAGCTCATCAGAACAATGGCCATGAAAATATTTTTAGAAAAGACAGAGGGAAGCCATGTCACATTGGTGGGAAAATAAACGTGACTTTGATTACTATTTTTATTATTAACATTATTATTATTATTATTATTAGTAGTAGTAGTAGTAGTAGTAGTAGTAGTAGTAGCAGTGTTGAGTTCACTTTTACAATAATAGCGTTGCCGAAAATAGAGAACCATTTTTTCTCTATTCCACCAAGTGCTGACTTAAACAGCGGTTCCGATTTTCTTCCGTAGACTTGAAGGCAGACTCTCTTGAAGAAATATAAATTCAAAATTGTGGAAGCAGCAACAGGAAAAAGTTTTTACAAAAAACTTTGGCAATTTCTAGCTATTAAACCTTTGAGGCCTGCGTTCAGAACAATTTTAACCCTTCTGTCTGAGCTACAGGGTCAAATGTAGCAAATAATTGGTATGTAATATTTCACAGTAGATATAAAAATAGTTGCAAAAAATATAAGCATTACACTTAGCAGAGAGAGAGAGAGAGAGAGAGAGAGAGAGTATGATTTCATGGCTTCACTTTATCGCAAGAATTCTTTCTTTGTGCCACTGTCGAATAAGACGACATATAGCAAAACAGGACGCAAGAGATTACATACCGTTGGCTGGGCATTAAATCATTTTCTACCACCGGTAAAGCGGTGGTCAGAGCTGAAAGGGTTGAAGTGAAGATAGATGTGACTAGTCACAAGCAATGGTGTCCTTAACAGACACGACATTTAAACATGTGGTTTTAATAGTGATATAGGTTTATTTTTCGCTGACCATAATCTTTATAATGTACAGATAAATGTTTTATTCTATTATCTTAATCCTTTTAATCGTAAGCAACGCAATACACTTCTAAGACGCCAATGGAGTGATGAGAGTGAAAGAAACAAAGTAAATGGTATTGAGGAGACAGGGCAATAAAACAACAGGATTAAATGAGACAAAAAAATGATGATTGGCGTTTTATTTCATCTTTTGCTTATATAAGAGGATACTCAAGTAAAAACTGAGAGGCGACATTCTGTTCCATGGCGCAAAGCCATCTTCGCCCCAAGTGTCTTGTGTGCCAACACGACTATTTATACATACACTTATCAAGTTTCTATTATTTTCAAATTGGGTATCCACTAAAGTAAACGCTCGTATAAAATATATATATATATATATATAACTTTAAACGTTATTATAGTAAATACTTGGTATTTGAAACATCTGTTTCAAATATCACTAAACCAAGAAGAACGTCACATCAAGCATGTGTGATCAAACTGTAGTTTCGTCTACAATGGTTTTCTTCAATGCGTAGGCCGAGAGACCTAATACATACTGTATAATAAATAAAAACGGGGCGTCTATTTCAAATACAAGAAATAACAACCTGAACAAGGTCATAAGACCAGAAACCCGTGTAGCAAAAATATGAAGAATAAAATATAATATATACACTAAATCAAATTCGCATTATAATCCAAAAATGTCTACGGTTTCTCTATTTTTTAAAATATACATTTTTCTCTAGTTGGAAATCTTTTATATATATATATATATATATATATATATATATATATATATATATATATATATATATATATATATATATATATATATATATATAGGCATTGGTTAGATCTAGTGACAGGACCCAAAGAGTGGTTCAATACCCGGTTAAGGCAGTGGAGACCTTTCAGAGGGAAATTAATAGGAGATAACTGATAACTGACATCCATTAAACATGTCACGTGGAACTAGAACAGTCTACCCCGGTGAGCGAAATAAAGGGTTCAGTTCGACATTCCAACAACCTGAAGAAGGCCGGAGCGTGCAACGGCCGAAACGTTGTGATAAATATGGCGACAAAGATGAGGACAATAATCCGAATAATGTAAATAATGAAAAAAAGATAGCTATTAACCAGGTAATATATCGGATTTTAAAAGAGAAAGAAAAAATTAAAATAAAACATACATAAAAAAATATAAAAATAAAATTTTAAAAATTAAAATATAGAATATGATATATAGGATATAAAATATCTTATAGTATACGAAAAATTAAAAAAAAAAATATAGGATATGAAATATTGAAAATAACTCTTTAAAAACTGTATGATATATAGATATATTTTTGCTGTTTCACCCCTAAGCAAGTGGGAAGCCACTAGACGCAAGGGGTTAGAAAAATTTGGAGCAAGATCAGATAGGAGGATAGAAGAAAGGATGAGGAGAAGAGAGGGATAGATCAAGGCAACTGGAGATACAGAGGCCAGTGAGAGAGAGAGAAAAGAGAGAGAGAGCATGAAACCCTTCCTAAACAAGAAACAAGGCAAGCCTCTACCATGTCCAAGAGAAGGGGGAGGAGGTTGACTGCGGTAGAAAAAGCCTACCTACCCTATTACATATAACGCATACAACAACAAAAACAGAGGTAACGATGGAGGGGGGAGGTAATTTCAAAGAGTCCTGGCTGACAATGATTTACCCTTTCGAAACATTAAGTTAAGTTTTAAATTCTGTATAAGTCCCATTGTTCATTCCTGTGTGAAATTGAAGAAAATATATTTCCGGAAAATTGCCATGTTATAATAAATGCCCCAACATACGTGGCAGCGAGTGTTAACCGTTTTCCTCAAAATGATAAAAAGTGAATGTCCAGCTTACTTAAAGTCCAAGTATCGACCTGGTGGTGGGGGATCAATATAATCCACCGCCCTCACCAAATAGTTTGCTTAGTTGTTCATAAAAAATTAAGAACATAATGGTGGCTTAAAAACAATTTTATCTTACAATAAAAAATTAAGAACAAATAGGAGAAATAATGGTAAGAAAACAATTGTTGTTCATAAATTTTATCAAGCAAGAATAGTTTCGATACCAAATCATGAGATACTGACGAGACACATTCACATCTAGCCAAAGACTATAGAAAAACTTTTTTAAAAACAATTTTAATTAACTAAAAAGGGGGAAATATAAAAAATAACTTTTTAAATAAACCTTATCAAGTCGGGGGAAATAATATAAAACCTATATTATTAAATAAAGTCAAATACCAAATCGGTTATACATAAGTAAATCATATAAAAATAGAATAATAGGAGGAGAGGTATTAATTAAGAAAACTACAGATATAAAAGTAATTGGACGATATATTGCTAAAATAAAACAAGGGAAAAAGAAAGGAAATTAAGAGTATTGCATATACCAAAGATAAACCACAGTATCATATATAAAGAAAACCAATAAGAAGAGAGTTAAGTAAATAGAGTAATCAGAAAAGAATACAGATCTAGAAAAAAATCTGCATGTAGAAAACATTTCAAATATAAAGAAAATTTCACGTATAGAAAATAAGTGAATGAGGAAAGTGCGAGGTTGAAAAATATTGTACCAGTTGTCATTTACTTCTGTGATGATGCATTTATCTTATTTTTAATCATCAGGTTATTTTCTTTTTTATTTACTGATAATGTCTAAAAAATTATGATACTATTAAATTCCTTTGTTTAATATTAAAATTAAATAAAAGTGTTAATATTAAATTCTAATTTTTCTTTTTATCTACAGTCTTTTAAACGATACTATATATATATATATATATATATATATATATATATATATATATATATATATAGTATATATATATATATATATATATAATATAGTTTATATATATATATATATATTCCCTGAAAATTTATTTGAGTTGAGCTCTCTGCGGAGGAAGTGTAGGTTTGTAAATAGTGACTATTACGAATAATAATGCAAAAGCCTTTGGTAAATCGAATCGAGCTCTTTCAGCCACTGTATGTTTATCTAAAAACACACTTAAATTCACCTTCATCCCTGCAGTGCACCAATGGCTTAGTGGTAGAATCTCACGACTGATACCAATTCAGTATATTTTCGTTCCTAGCTAGAGGCAACCGGACGTCTACCCACGCTGATGAGCTGTGATACAGCGAAACTGTCTATCTGTGGATGACAATATATATAGTATTTTTTATTCATCCATTGCTGCTTTATTTTAGACAATATAGTCAATACAGATCAATTAATATTATTATATATAGCAGCGGTGTAACTGTATTTGAGAAAGACGCTGCATATTTAAAGAGAAAAATCAATTAAAAATATTATGTATAAACTTAAGACTTGCCCGTGACGATATCCGCCTGATGGTAGGAATATATATTCACTAGATACTAGTAACCAATATTAACAAAAAGACATTAGGTTGTACGAAGGGAAAAAGAGAAGAAAGAAAGAGGTAAAAAGTGTTTATAAACATTTTCAAATGAAGAGGATTCGAAATCAACATTAAAACAAACTAAAAAGATATAACATTTTCAGCGCAATTTTAAACTCTAAATATAATATTAACAGTTCAGAAAATTAGACGCCAACCGATTTTATATGCATGACTTCTTCATCTAGCCAATCAGCATACGGAAACAAATTCCACCCTATATCATTCGCTAATTATTCGATCAGTCAAACGATAAAATTCTGTATGAGCTAGGACTAAATGTCCGTGGTTGTCAGTCAAAAATATATTTACACATAACATAAAAAACATCAGTAATATAAATACTACAGTGTTCAACCTATCATATAACACAAATCCAAAAGCTTAAAATTCGAAGTTTAAAAATTTATCAAACTAATCGATAAACTCTTTCCCATATCAAATATCATAAAATATTTAACAGAAATCCTGTAAAGCATACCTATATATGAAACATAATGTACATTTTTTACATTAAAACGCCCACCTGTAACAGCAGAACCATGTATAAAGGTTCACTGAAATGTAACTACCTACAAGCTAATCTAATATATCAATCTACAGTAATGTCCAATGAAATACACACATAAGCACACACACACACACACACACACACACATATTATATATATATATATATATATATATATATATATATTATAATTATTTTTAAAAATGATTCCTTCGCTACATTAGAATTCTCATGTTTCTAAAACAGGACCCAAAAACTTCAATATAATTATTAAAATTAAAATGAATTAAAGTATCAAGCTCTGCTTCATCCTAAAGCGAAATTTTTGAAAAAACTAATCTTGAAAGTTACGCAGCTTTATAAAGTTACGCAGCTTTATGATAATTTTATGAAAATATTATTTTCATTCGTAAAATTAACTACTATGGAAACGGCTGAAGCAATTTTTTCAATAAGTAGAGTAAGGGTTAACAATTTGTATCAACATATTAGTTACTTTCGGAAAGAGGTCAAAGTAGGGTCGGGATGTCTATTTTAAAGCGAATGATGACATTCAGTAGACATATATTATTTAGTCTGTTTCAGCGACAGAGTTATTGCCATTATTGTTACGCTGTTAAATCTCTAATGATTTTTTTAAAAAAGGGTTGTTTGTATATAAATGCGTCGTATTGAACTACAATTTGTTTTTTTGACAACTTCATAGAGTTTATTTTTATCTTATGATTGGGTTAAGCTTTTAAACTTTTTAATAGACTATGAAATTTTAATTTGTTTTTATATGCTAATTATTTAATGCGAAAATTTGTTGATGTCGGCAAAAATATGTAGATAGGGATGTCTGATTTCTACTTCTAACACTATTGAAGGAGCTTTTGTGTTGTCTCCATCTAATTTTAAATTCATTTTTCGTGGAACCTACATATATCATTTCAGTGTTAGGACTTTCAATGGATGAGATAGTGCATTGATGTACCACAGATTTTACGCGGAATTTATTTTCCAATGGGTAGTCTTCAGGGTTTCTACAATCACATAATTTATTATTATTCTTTTCTAATTTTAGTATAGGGTTTTTATTAATACTATTTTGGTATAGTATTTTTCCAGGATTTTATTATTTTGTTTTTTTTTTTATGATTCATTCTAGATTTTCAGTGTAACTGTAGCTCAATTTTAAGGTGTTTTTATTAAAGATCTTGCTAAGTCTGCTATTAATAGGAAAGTTTTTTTCAATTACAGCTAGGAATTTATGTCCTAGCTTAATACTAACCAATTGGTTGAACGGAGGAGTATACCAAATGATTTTTCTTTTCATGTTTTTCTTCTGGTTAATAATACTGTTTCTATAACTGATGTTAGCGTTTTTGTATCCGCTATTTTTTAGAGCTGTGTTATAAAAATTACTGTGATTTTGGAATATTTCTTCATTAGCGAAGTTTATGCTAAAAAGAAATAGGCCAATATTCAAATTACAAATTCGATACACTCAATCAATTACAAAAATTTTAATATCTAGGAAGTATTTTAACAGAGTACAGGATATGTAACAACAGAAGACAAAGGAGAATTGAGATAGAGAAACATGCTTCACAAAAGCTAAGCAAAGTATTAAGAAACTAAGGAAAGAGTACTCCTGGTATATGGCAGTGAATTCTGGACAATCTCGTAATAGATGAAGAGGAGGCAAAAGAAATGTGGTTCTGCAGAAGGATGCTGATAATAACATGGCCTGAAGAAGTGAGCAACGACGAAGTTTTCGAGAAAGTCGAAACACAATCGACACTTAGAATTAATGAGACCGTTTCTGAGCCAAATAATAGTGAAAGAGGGCAGAGAAAACTTGACACACACACGCCATACTGCAGGCAAGAATAAATAGCCCACATTAAATTAAATATATCAGCCACAGGAACAGAACATTTAAGGAAATAAATACAGTTTAAAATAAACAGAGTGTTTACTCAATTACGGGCATCCACTAAAAATATTGTTGGAAGATCACACAAAGCACACACACACACACACACAC